GGAAACAACCACTTCAAGACTGCTGGAAAACCTTGACACAGTCATGCTCAAATCCTTCAACTGCAGGATTTATAACTTCCAAACCAAATCCTGCATCGACACACGCTACGAGATCACGCTGTGGTACTGCCAAAAATGTAAGCTCAACAGTAAAATATCCTATCACCACCATCTCATTCCTGCAACAATGATGACCGTCAGCGAAAGATCCCCTGAAGTGATAACATTAGGCTAAAACGTTCACTGCTTTACAGGTGCCACCACAGCAAGGAATACCCACAAGGCACTGCTGTATTCAAAGGTGACAGCAATGGTCGTGGCAGTGAAAAGAAAGACGAGACCAGAAAACACCTTCAATGATCATAAATAACAATTTCAAACAGCCAAGGATTCTTTTCCTTTTGCCCTGTTTGTGCCATTAAAACCACCTCAGTGCAATTGGGATGTTTAGGGAAGACAGCAGGTTCACAAGCTCTCGTGCACGGGATTTTTGTGATCTAGCATATTTATCAGTTCTTCAAATCACATATCCGTATACTTCCCAGCTACTTGAACTGTACCTGCTGCATTTCAAAACGAGGAGGAAAGAAAATTGTGGAAGCAACATTTTGTAAGCACTTGTACATAAATGAAGTTCAAGAAAACAGAGAAAATTCAGCAATTCCACTCAAACTTTATTTCCCTGTCTTCTCTACTCTTTGGCCCTAGATATGTTTAACTTTGCTTTGTCTTTTGAGGTCTTCTCTTTTTGGTACTAGCGTTATAACTCCGAAGAAGCTAATTATGTCAATTCTTAAATGTGAAGCAGATTACAGAACTGGGAAGCTCAGAATATGAGTTCCTAAAGGTTGTATGGCTATATAATGACAGTCACAGAAATTCAATAACAGCACTGTATGGAATGTACTCAAACACACCCCATGAAACAAATTAAAACCGAGCAATGAATCTCTCACACTGTGCAAATAAGAAAGCACAAGAAAATGTTGGTTTCTATATGTTTCATAAGGGCTATTATAATGAATTAAGATTTTGGATAATGAATCTTCAGAAAATTACAGTGAAGTTATTACCCGTAGGCACAGAGTAAATGCTGAAGATATTATAACTTCCTTGAAGCCCTCCAGGCCCTGCTGCAGAGAACTACCACTGCAACATTAAAGTATTTTGTCATGAACATTGAGGGCAAAACCAGACCCTAACCACATTTACCCCGACCTGACAGAAGCTGAGTAGGGCCAGCCGCTACAGCCCAGCCTGGAGCTCACGCAGCAGGGCAAGGAGAGCAGCTCTCCCCACCCTCAGGCCCAGGGGCCCGTACGGCAGATCGCCAGAGCTGCCATCCCAGCTCTCCAACCAATACCACTGTGCATCGCCCACTGAAATTCCACCCTAACCACAAGTTTCTTTCTTGGTGTTGAGTACCACAACACATTTAGTAATTTCCACTGCTCTTTAAATCAAAATCAGGTATTCTGAATTTTTAGCACTTGCAAGCTCCATCACAACACAGCAAACACGAGCTTCCAAATCCCACAGACAGCTTTTGAAAATCCGAACTGAAACCCCTAATTAGTGGCTCAGGGTGCCAGATCAATCACCTTTACCTCACCATAAAACTAACAGTTTAAAAAGTGTTGGCTTTTCTATCCTCTCCGTAACAGAGGAAAACCTTCGTTGCTTACAAAAACCTCATTCCTGACCACTTGCCTCAACAAGGTAAGACATCGAAACACCCTTAACTCAGAGACCAAGCCAAGAGAACAGGATAATTTGCTGCTTTACAGGTGGCTCCCTATATGAAAAAAAATGCCGAAACAGGCCGTAAGAGGTTGCCTCAGTCAGTTTCACACAGGAACTCTGAAGTTGGGCTTTGCGCTCCATAAAAATCAGGCTACTCTTCCATTCACTGCTACACGTGTTTGTAAGCAACCAGAGGAACTACACTGATCATACAAATGATGTACTATCTCCTGCCTTACCTATAAACCTTAATTAAAATATGGCATAAAGTTATCCCTGAAAAGAGCCTACTAGGGGAAAGGGTAAATCTGCTGGGTGGTTCAGAGTCATTGTTATGGATGTTATTTGCTTCCTCGTCTTTTGAAATACTCTGTCATCACCAGTTCAGACAGCAAGAGGTAATAACAGTCCCCACAAAGGCTGTTTCCCAGGTCCTCTTCCCCAGTCCCTTCCTTGTTAGCACAACAGAGCAAGAGAATTCACAGGAGGTCTCCACCTCCCGCTCCATAAAGTACCAGTGTGATGCCAGAAATAAACCTTTTGTTAAACGGAAATGGATCTCTATTTCAGCTTCTTTCTCTCAGCTTTTATTTACTTATTTATTTGCTTCTTCCTTTCTTCAGTCCCGTTTTCTGAAAACCTTGAAAGAAAGATTTACAATTCTGGCAAACTTCCTACGAGAGACCTACTACGCACTAACATTGTCATACATACAGCATTCTCTAAAAGAAATAAATTAATAATAATACTAATTTAAACAATGGTTTATCTGCTAGGTGTTCAGGTAGCCAATTGTTGAAAAGGTGCTTAGCTTTAAAAGTCTTGTTTAGACTTTCATTTTTGTAAAGCACTGTTAGTGATTTTTAATTCTACCGTCTCTTTTGTTTCCCTCCAGGGTCTAAAGTACAAATATTACAGTGAAAACTAAGAAATACTATTAACAGCAATTACTTTTTGAGCATCAGCTGGAAGATTCTTAGTTTCGAAGCACAGTTCTGGGCTGTGCTTTCCCTCAGTGCTATACACTGTACTGCAGAGGTTCAAGCCACATACGCACTTGCACTCAGGTATTTGCTTAACAAGAAGCCAAAATGCTGCTTTAAAATCCTCTAATGATTGAAGTGAACCAATACTGTACGGATTACCAGAGTAGATCTGTGCCAGTCAGAAAATTCCCAAAGACAAAATATCACAGGTACTTCAGTAGCAGCAATCAACACTCTTACTTACCCCTGTAACTATTAAAAGTGTCCAGCTAATTTGAGTTGCTTAATTGTATCTAAACGAGTAGCCTACTCAGTATCCTTACGTACAATAAACCTCAATGCTAAAGCATCGACATTAGTTTGGCACTTAAAAAGAAGTAATAAAAATCATAGCTACTTATTATAGCTCTAGAATTTCTGTATCATAAACTATTTCATTGCACTGACTAACACAGCTGCAGGTGTTCCACATCTCTCAGGATCAAGCTTTAAGCACATGAAATTCGGCGGTACCACGTATTTTAAAAAGGTTTTGCACTGGGGTTGACCATGAGCGTGCTTTGCACATTTATCCCACAGCATAAGGAGAGGTGTTACAGCCACCA